CCGCGGCTTTCACAAATGTTGACATTCGCAAACACCAAGAGTCTGGAGTTCTGCAAAACAAAACGGACGCGTTTCTAAGAGACCTGTTCGTTCACCCCCTCCAGCCCCCCCTGCCCCCTCCTCCCCCCGGTAACTCTTCCCACCACAGGCTGACGAATCAGTTCCAACTCACCGAGTTGGAAAGTTACAGGTTCGGAACTCTAACACTCCGAGGGCTTAAAGAACCTTAAAGACATATTTGACAAAGAACCGACGACGACGTCTGATTGGTCGACAGGAGCCAACGAGGACAAAGACGGTCAGTGGTAAAAAGCATTAGATCAAACACCGTGACCAGAAGGTGTTTAGATCAAAACCCTTCTTATTCATGACCTAAAAAAATGAACTGGGCGTCGACGCTAAATAAATAAATCAGTTACAAATGTGTTGGCATTTTGAAGTTGAAGGACTGAAAGTTCAGACCAACATCATCAAAGTGAAGACAGAAATAACTGTTAACTGACAGAATAAAGTAATATTTAAAGGAAACCGGTGTCGTCAGGTCAAAGGTGCAAAGCTAGCCAGGACTATAGTTAACTACAGCTAGGACGAGTGCTAAATGTTAGCACGAGCACTGAAACCCAACCAACCAAAGAGGACGTGGACCACGGAGGAGCTCCACAGAACCGGACCACTGGGTCGAGGAGAGAAGGTCAGTCAGAGGTCAACGACAAGGTCCAGTCTTTGTTCACATGAAAAACACTTTATTTTCCAACACTTTGTATTTGTTGTGCAACAACAACAACAACAACAAGGATGCCATCATCATCATCATCATCATCATCATCATCATCAAATATACGTCATAAGTCAATGCAGTTTCACACAGAACCAACAGCAGGTGAGACAGTGAACACACACACACAGGTTGGACTCAGCAGTCAGTGTGTGCAGTGGGACAGAACACTGCAGTGTCTCTATGTCACTGTTCAAGTCCAGCAGCTGACTGCACCTCTGAGAACCAGGCTGTCGTCACACAGATGGACCCCCCCTGCCCCCCCCCAGCCACTGGGCTGACAAACACTGGTGATCCAGGGAGGCCAACCTGCTCGGTACAGAAGTCTGGAGTTCATTCAACAGCAGCAGCGTCAAGACAAAGATGGCCGACAGGAAAACAGGTCAGGAGTGAAAAGAACAACTGGGGGGGGGGGTAAAAACAGGAAGAAACCTGAAGAGGGCAGCACCTATTTATGAGAGGAAAACAGTTTAGTCTTTCAGCCTCAGTCTGACGTCTGGGATGCTGTAACACAAGTATCCACAGGGTGGAGTCAGTGAGTTAAAGCAGGAACTCTGAGCAGGGACTGCTGAAATAAAAAAGGTCAAGTCATTTGGATTGAACCGTCTGTGAACATATATATATATATAGATGTGTACATCTATAAATATATATTTGACCTAGAAAATCCAACAACAGATGTTTTTCTGAACTGTTCAAATAATAAATAAACAAACTTCAATAAAACTTTGTTCATCTCTGTCTTCAAGTCTCTCTCTCTGACTCACTCAGACCCCCCCCAGTGAAGACTGATCTGTAGTTGCTCTGACTCACACAGACCCCCCCCTCGCCCCCCCCCCAGTGAAGACTGTTCTGTTCTGACTCTAAACCTCATCTTCCACCAAACTATCAGCCACAACAACAACTAAAGTTCACTCCACATCTGTCAGGGGGGCAGACTAATGTAGACTATGGTATTGAACCCTCAACCTGGGCGACCCCTTACCCCAGCCCCCCCCAGGTAAAACACTGTGACTGTGCTGTAATAACAGTTAGAAATATTACAGTTGGACAAGAAGAAACCAAGTTCAAACCGACTAGAACTGCTAACTATTAACTTGTTGACTGGTTAGAAGAGTTAAACAGACAAAGTCTCAGATGTTGGTTCTGAAGAACTTTGCTGGTTTCAGAAGTGAACAGCTCCACACGGTGGAGGGTTAGTCTCTGCCACCACTGCAGCTGTGAACCACAGTGTGAATGTGGAGACTTGTTTACGTTCACACTTCTGAAACCAGCAGAGCCTTCCACCAACCAACCAACCAACCAACCAACCAACCAACCACACCACACCACACCACACCCGGCTGCTCCTGACAGCACTCTGCTGACACCTACAGGGAGAAGGAGGGAAGTGACGGTTATTCCAGCATCCCTGAGTGGACCTGTGGAAACAAACGAGGAGTCAGTGGTTTGAAACCCCCCACCTCACAGTCAGCAGCAGTGACCGCACACACACACACACACACACACACACACCACATTGTTGATGAGTTATCACTAACTAACACAGTTAACTGTTAACACTGACTCAGTTATCTTAGATGTAAGATACAGTGAGATTCAAGGTGAATCTGTTCTGCCATTACAGGACCAAACATCCCATAATATGATCATTAGAAACCAGCACGGCTGGTACTGTTCCAAATCCACAGGATTTACCACAAAATAGAACTAACAACATGAAGATACACATTTTAAAGAACAAAAAAAAAGTCTGTTAAATTAAAAATAAAAGGATTAAAACATAAAAGTGTGTTTGAACAAGTGAACAACACAGAACAGAACCACACACACCTTCAATTTACAAGAAGAAAAAGGAACTTTTCTCTCTGTCTTTAAATGCATTTCAGTACTGCAGTGACACCTACTGGCAACAAACACTCACTGCAGTTTGTGTTTTAAGTCTTAACATATTTTGAGTTGAAACTTTAAGGAAAATACCAGCAGATTTATGGATAAAGTCCACGTTTCTTCAACTACAGACAGTACTGAGTGAGTATCCAATCCAGACGCCTCAAACTGTGATGTCATCCAAATGCTGAGCCACTCGTACAACTGAACTGAACTGAACAGAGGTTTGTTCAGACACAGTGAACTCTGACTGACGTCCTGGTCCCAGGACCACGCCTCACCTTTGACCTCACTCTAGCTTTGGTTCAGGTAGAAGCTGATGAACTGTTTCTAAACGGACACCCCCCCCCCCCCCTGCCCCCCCCCACCTCAGTTTGTTCTAATGAGGAAAGTGGAAGCTGAGCTTCAATGGTACACACAGCGACCTCTGCTGGATAAGCTAATGACTAACAGAGAGAAGCTAACTTGAACTAACTAACACGTAGTTCTCATGGCGACCAATCAGTGTAAAGCTGCCTGGTTCAATGTTTGACTCCACAGATGGAGGCGCTGTTTGACCTGAACACAGACTCAAAGGAACAACCTTTAAAGTCCCTCCTCCCTGGGTTACTTCATTCAGTTAGCATAGCCAGCATTAGCATTGGCACCAACAGCTGCCTCCTGTCTGTGTGTGTGTGTGTGTGTGTGTGTGTTTGTGTGGACAAAGGTCACACATGTACGAAGGCCCAACATCAGAGTGACATCAAGGTACTTTTACTGCGTTCTGTGGTATTTCCCTTAAGTGTAGAGGTAGTATTCCTTTGTTGTGACGTTACGTCACTTTGAAGCCTTTGATGTCTGTAAAGACTGTGCTGCATATCTAGAATAAATCATTAAAAGGTGACAAAATGAATAAAAACATGGGTCTAAAAGTGAGTGTTTAGAAACAGCAGACACGTGACATCACTCACAACCACACAGTGTTGGGCTCAGCTTTGACCACCGACACATACCTGCGTATTCACGGTATATTGGCCAGGTTTTTATTATATTCTCCGTTCCCTTTAGACGTAAGGTCAGAAATGATGTCCAGTCAATTTGGATTCAAAATTCAAACAAAAACACTTCAGTAAAACCACTAGTGCCTGGACACACGGGCGTAAACGTACATATAAAAATATCTTACAGGAGGAGGAAAGAGTAAGTCAACGGTACTGGATGGAAACCCAGTCACAGATAAAGTTCTGCTGCGTTTATCTACAGGTTGGACTATGAAGGTAATGGTTGCTCCCCCCCCCCGCTCTCCCCCAGCGTTCTGGAATGAGGAAGAAAACCAATGTGATTATTGATAAGAGAGACGAAGCTAGCTTGACATTGGTTGAGCCTTCACAGTGACAGACAGTGAGACTGAGAATTGAACATCGTCAGTGGTGACGCTGCGGCGCTCTCCTCCAACTAGTCTTACAACTTCTCATGAATGGACATCAAAGGAACCAGAGATGAAAGGGACTTGGTCTTTCTAAATCTACTTATTGGAATAAGACCTGCATCTTTAGCTCAGTGTGAAGAGTCTCTAAATGTTCATCTGCTCATCATCATCATCATCATCATCACCGCTCTAATCCAAGCAAACACACAAATGTCTGAATGTTTAGCACTAAAATAAAAGACCAGACAACATCAAAGTCTTAGTGATGTTGATATTAAAAAAAAACAACCCAAGTAACAAGTCCTGCTTCAACCTCATCACAACTAACTAAACTAACTAAACTAACTAAAAAAGGCATTTTCATTAATGCAGTCCAGGTGTTTATTTTTATTAAAAGTCTCTATAGTATTCATTATTAAGCGTAAACCAACACATTTGACAACATCAACCAGAAACATCCTGACTTTGAAACATCAAATTATCTTAGCAGTTAAAACTTTAACCAAAACTACAGAGATTTTTCTGATAAATGATTTTCCTTGCATTCTGTGAACCACGACAATCTGCGTCTGTTCCCGTGTTCTCCGCTAGGAGGAGCCATTTGACAGCCGATAACAGCTCACAGACTCGTCTCCAAATGAACTCTTCAGGGTTTGGGTTTAGCTACACAGACGATGGAATACTGCCCTCTACAGCAGGGGAGAACAACTGTCATGAACCAACAACTGAGTGAATACAACCCACGCCCCCTGTATATGGGCCACATTGGAATATAGTGACGTCATTGGACTGAGTGTTAGTGTGAACCTCAACCAGAAGGAGAGCAACCATTATCTCATGTCTAGTGTCCACGTAACTGGTTCTACCACCGACGGTTCTACGTGTCCAGTGTCTCGTCAGTGTCACTATAGCAACGGACCAATCAGGACCACAGGTCTGTGTGAACATCATGAGGTGAACTGACGACGAAGCTTCTGCGCAGACCACGATGACCAGGTAACCAAAAAAAAAAAAAAAGAGTGGAGCCACGCCCACATCAGGAGAACAATGTCATCTGGTACCAGGAGCCTCTGGATGTACTGGGCTCCTCATCCGTCAATCAGCGACACGTCAATGTGGGACAAATCAATCATGTGCCTGTGGTGACGGTGACATTGGAGTTGGAACATTTTCCCACCAGGTTCACATTCTTACAACTTTCCAAACAATAAAATGCAGAAACTCAAATCATTGATGTCAGTTTTTACCGTGGCCTCGTTTCAAGGCCATGTTCACTGGGAGAACGTCTTTACCTGTGGAAGCTCAGCTGGAAACTGGCTGCATGGTCAGGGTTGGAGAACGTGGCCACTGCTTTCCTCTGCTGGGGCATCATTTTAAACATCTGCAGGAGAAACACACACGGGTGTAATGAAAAGCTCATCCACAAGAGGGGGCAAGGGTGGTGAATCGATGAACTCGTTCACTCACTCTCACCTCCGTATTCCTTCACCAGAGGGCGCTCTGTGACCAGACTAAGCTAACATGTTCGTGCTACAGTAACTGCAGGATTAAACACCTCCACTAGTTTTCAAAGGTCTCAGGTACCGACCTCTATGGGCCCGATGGACCGGAGGAGGTTCCTCAGCTGGGTTTCGGTGGTGGACAAGGAGAGTCCCTCGATGGACACGGTGGACCGTTGGCTCTCAGCGACTCTTGGGCTCTGTCTGGTGGGCACCGTGCGACCTCGACCCATCGGACCGCCCCCTCTACCTCGGCCCGTCACCACAACCTGCAGCAACAGACGACAGGAGTAAGACGTGGAGAACATCAGACGCGTTGACGTTTTCATCTGCACTTTTTAAAGCGTCTGAACATCTCTGCACACGCGGGGCTGTGATACGGTGAAGACCAACATCACAGCTCCATCTCCACGGTGTTTCCTCACACCAGAGCCGCCGCGGCTCAGGAAAAACCAGCAGCAGCAGGAGGAGGAGGAGGAGGAGGAAGAGTGGGTGTTGTTGTGGGTGGGGGAGGCCAGCGTTATGGTGGCAGCCTCACCCTGTCAGCATCAGTGAGTATGGTAAGTGTGACAGCAGCCTGGTGGTGACAGGCGTGCAGAGAGGCCAGGGGACCTCATGTAGCCCCCCGTGTTACACTGCTTTCAGCTTGTCAATAGCCCTGCACCTGGCATACTGTCCTGTCTTATTACAACCACTGCTCCACCGCTCCACCGCTCCACTCAGCGGGTGCCAAGGCAGTGCCTGTGGCACAGCATCACTCCACACAAACACACTTCATACCACAGTGATCTCCACTCCATGGTCTGTGGAGCAGCTCCTTTGATCAGAGCAGCTTCTAATTAGAGTCAGTCTCATTAGATGATCCTTTAACAGGTTCAATTAGTGACACTGATGTAGGTCACTTGTCTGTGGCCTATGGGCCACATCCATCCACCCTACATCAAATACAGGCAGCACATCTGTGGGCTGAGACCAATCTCCTCTGAGGGTGTGGAGGGGGGGGGGGGGTGAGGGGGGGTCTTGGTGTCTACCCCACCTCTGTCACTGTTCCATTCACCTGCTGTAGGTTGGTTAACACTTGAAGTAAAGTAGTTCAACTTCCTTTGATCTTCCTTCATCGTCCGTTGGTGTTTTAGTGAAGACTCTTTATTTCTTAACATCATGTCAGGGTAGGTGTGTGTGTGTGTGTGTGAGCAGACATACCCTGTTCTGCTGTGGACCAGCCTGTGGTGGTCTGCCTGCTCCCTGTGGCTTCTGCCCCGTCATGGTCACCTTCCTCTGGTTGAGGGCAGTGGTGGGGCAGTTGCCTTGTTGCTGGAGGGGGGCAGCGGTGACCTCCGGGCCCTTCCCACCCTGGACGGTGAGAGACAATCAAAGTTTTCAGCCTTTAAACTCAACTCAAGCACAAACATTGAAGTGAGGTTTGGGGACAGGAGCGCCGCGTCCCGGCCGCCACAGAGGCCGCAGGAGAAGGAAGAGCAACGAGGTGATGTTCTCATTATCAAATAAAGTCACAGCTCGACTGTGTCGACACACGTGGGGAGGAACTGAAGGTCGTCTCTTTCCTGACTCTGCAGAGAGATGTGACAGATCAATACTGGGAAGAAAAGAGAGCGATATCTCTGAGCTGTCCCCGCTGAGAGTAAATGGATTAATCCCTCCTATAGAAATCACAGCTCCTGATTGCAGCCGTCAAATGCTAAGCTGCATTACGCAGGAACGACAGCAGCTCGATTTGTATCCCATCCCCCACCACGAACGCCCCCCACCCCCTCAAGCTTTTGTGTCTTGCGCTGCATTGTATTATCCCTGATGAAAATATAATTTGCTTCTTATCTGTGTGCCTAAGCCATACAAATCCAAATCCTCAAAAGTGGCAACTTTCTTACACAGGTATTATGTTGCTCCTCCTTCAACCAAGAAAGATTAATTACAAAGCTCTTGGATTGGCATTCTATTGTTGCCCCGCACCTGAGAGATGGCTTGATGGGGGAAAAGCAAGTGAGGGATGACGCAGAGAGAGAGAGAGAGAGAGGGAGAGAGGGAGAGAGGGAGAGGGAGCGTGAAGAGGAGGAGAGGAGATAACATTGTAACCCTCCAGTTGATGACAGCAGAACAATGTGGAAGAGGGAGCATCCAGGGAATCTTATTTTCACCATGGCTACATGCCTTAGCTGTGTGTCCCCATGTCTCCCATCTCTCTCT